AGAAGGTATGATCATCCAACATAGGAAATGAGCATAGTGCTAAATAATAGTTGGTGGAACAGTATGAAGCAACAGCCCATTCTCATCAGTGACTTATTATAATCATTGTAATTAAAAAAAAGAAAATAAAAGGTCAACCAGGACAGTCATATGCAACAGGGATTAGCAGCTTTCCATTTAATTTGATGAGAGACTGAGCCTTCAGCGATCATCACAACATTTGCTGCCACTTGAACGTGGGCCTGTTGACAAAGACTACTTTGGCCTCTCGGTGTTAGGGAGGTCAGGGCACAATTTAACACTGTGGCCAAGCTTCTAGTTGGCATTTATGGAAAAATCTGCAACAATAACACATGCAAGTTGCAGAAGTACAGAAACAGCAATTTGGCAGCTATAATTGTGATGTTTGTCACCATATTTACCCAGCTAAAAAAGTAGACCTTTCATGGGAATTGTATTACGCCTGAATATGATATGGGAAGCTTCCTTATGTGGGCTGAGCTCTCAAGTCATACATGTGGTTTGTTTGGTTTTGGCTAAGTAGGGTGTGTAAACCCGGCCATTGTGGTTTGCAAACTATGATTTGTTGCTCAGTGTGTTATGTGATATTCAGACCACAATGGTTTGTCAAATAAACTATGTTTAAAACATAGTGTTACTTAGCACACTATGAATTCAAACTGATTCAGATCATTGGTTTGTCAAACTCTGTTGTCCTTGGATTTCAAACAGGGGTGCTTCCTGCTCTCCTTGGTGATCCCTGAGCTTGAAACAGGGAACCTTCTCTATGGAAGTCTATGTCTTATACCAGTGTTTCTCAATTTTAGCAACTTTAAGATATGTGGACTTCAACTCCCAGAATTCCCCAGCCAGCATGTTGAGATACACTTCTTATACGGTTAAGCTACGGATCAGCAATCTCTAGGGGAGGACCAAGGTCAGGTGTAACACTCATGATCTTCCTGCACTGAGCTGGAAGCATTGTAAAGAATTTCTCCACGCATTCACTTCAATGCAAATGGAAGACTCTTCTCAGTCGGGAATGCTACTTTGTCAAACATTCATACATCGTTATTTGAGTATACAGGGCTGGATAATGATGAGCATCATCCTACTGGAATTTACAGTACTGGTGATTTCTAGCACTGTTAATTCTAATACAAATGTTTGTTCTTTTCAATTGCTAGAGCACTGTTGTTTCATTACATAACTCTAGATGCATTCGCTGCCTATTTGAAGTAAATATTACATAACGCCAATTTGCCGGAACTTTTAAAGGGAAGGAAGGAAGGAAGGAAGGAAGGAAGGAAGGAAGGAAGGAAGGAAGGAAGGATTCCTGTCTCGCTTTTTTTTTTTATTATTAAAACTGTTTGTTACAGGCAATCAGCAAAATGGCAGCATAATATGAACTCTGATCAAAGAAGGCACAAATAAACAAAGTGTCCTTTCTTAATTGCTTTAGGTTAATTAAATATTCAGCTTTGCAAGGTTCTTTCCATTGATTCCCTGATAATAATTAATTACATTGTGAGGTATCAAACACAGTTCTTTTTTTAAAAAATGTTATATATTGTTAAAAGGAAAAGGTCAAGACCAAACGGTATTATTTGCCTTTTTTCTATAGCTAAAATCTAAAGAAGGTAACAAATTTTCACAGTGCATTTTCTGATGAAAATAGAACCTCTCCTGATTGCTTTACTTGAGCCAGGTTTAATCCCAATTGTATTTTGATTAGCTAAAATCAATGCTGCTAAATAATCTGCCACTGAAAGTGACATTCTAAATACAGCCAGGAATCATTTACAATAATGTGCAATTCTCCACTTTTAAACATATTTCATACATTATTTAGGGATTTTTTACATTTTCTCCTGATCAGGCTTAGGTAAATTAAATGTATCTTAAGTAGATATTGCTGTTTTTAAGGGGGGGGGCATTGTAATTTTTATTATTTTTAGCAACTTAGTGCAAAGCAAAAGTATTTTCAGAGGCGTCGCATACCATCCTATCTCTGCCAGCTGCCGTCTTGATTTTCTAGTTTAGCAAGAATATGTATTGCTTAGTTCTTAAGCTTTCTACTTGCTTTTCAATTTTCTATAGTAGTGCCATTGCTGTGAATTTCTGAGCAACAAATTGGAACCTTTGGAAGTGTTAGAAGTTCCCTTTGGTATAAAAATCCAAATTGGATTTTAGCAATGGTTCCTCTATGCAGCTTAAGTACTGGGATGTTATATCTGAAAGATACGTAAAATGTCAAATAAATAACCGCCAAGGTCATACAGATAAGGTAATGACTATATCTCACTGTTACCTTATCATGAGAAAGTTATACAGGTGTTACTTTTTAGGGCTCCGTGGTGTCAAATGAAAATTCTTAAACAACAAACAGTAGCAATCATTATAAATTACTGGGGGCAACATGATGTCCTCCACATGTTGTGAGACACACCTAGCTATCATAAGAGTTGCGCCCTACAACTATTGGGAGTTGTAATCAAAAATATTTTGAAGACAAGAAGTTGAACTGAAGGCTCCGACACTTTAGAGCTCACTCAGAAAAGCATCCATAATTATGTAAAATTAAAAAAAAAGAGTTCCCATTTTCTCTATTTAAGTAGTTTAAAATATAGTACAAGCATGTACAGGTTTTCAAACCATTTCCAAAATCTTTAGCATTAATTTTAAACTAATTTGAGAATCTGTTTGTGTTTGAATCCATTGTTTACATCAATTTTCCTCCACCAGCAAACTTCCATATGTGCTGGCTGAGAATTCTTAGCGCTGCAATCCAGGATATCAGAGAGCAATATATTTGGAAAGGCTAGCTTATGGCATGCACATTCAAAGGTTTGCATTTTATTAAATGCGTTTCATTTACATTTCTTCTGTTTCATACAGTGATTTTCAGACTACTAGAATTTGTCTGACAAACAAAGAAAGTTCACTTAAAAAGAAATCAGTGTCTCCCATAAAATCCATGAACAATCTTTACTGCAAATATTTTAGTTAAACTCTAACGTGAAGGTGTTTTTTCCTCAGCTGACCACAAAAACCACAAAAGGTGGCACCCTTTTAACCACTACTCATTAAATCATCCCAATATGCTTCAACTTCAGAAATCTGCTTCAGTCCCAGCCTTCCACTTGCTAATAATTCTCAATGCGCTCTAAAACCAACCCACGACTTCTCTACAGGGTCTTTACTGTCTGCAGGTTTCAAAGCTTTACTGCATGGCCTTGTGAATCTGAAGCTCAGAGACAGTGCTGGAACTAAGTATTGTTCATTTTAAAGTAGCCAATAGCTGAGAGTAGAGAACACTTTCTCTTTCAAACTGGAGAATTGTTCAAAGCTTCCAGTGCTTTATGGATTAAGAAACCATTTCCCCTCTTTCCTTCGTAAAAGAATAAGTTTCTAGTATGCAGTCACAATCTCCCTTTTTTCCCAGCCGGTGGATCAGCTGACAGTTGGGACCAGGTGGCTGCTTCCCTCTGTTAATGGCAGTGTAAAACTGCCAATATTGATTTTTCCAAAAGATCTAGTTCAGGATTTTTGGCTAAAATTAATCACATAACAAATTACTGGGTGGCATCGGTGATATGGTGCATGCGGAAAATGTACAAAGTGACCATGTTCACATCATATGTAATCTTGTCTCTGACTTACCCATTTTTGGATTTATGCAGTATATTAAAGTCACCAGTCAATCTGAGTTTGCAAAAATGGCTAAGCCATAAAAATCCTAACCAAATTTAACACTAATCACATTATACAAACACAGTCACTAGGTTTTTAACTGACTTGGATAAGCACGTTGTATGAACACAGGCAGGATAGAATAATATCCATTGGCCCTTCCAAATTTATATTCATTTAGTATGCCTTTTGTGTAGGCCTACACAACTTCAGATTCACAGAAAAAGGTTACTCACACAGAACTCAGGATCTTTTATTAAGTAGTTAATTAAGTAGTTTTGGCCTGATAGATTAACGCTTACTGGAATAAGCTTTTTTTCCAACAGAAGGTTGAAAACTACTCTTTTGCCACTGACAGCAGACCAGAAATACAGAATTGTTTCTTTTTTTTAATTTTTATAATCAGCATTAAAACATTGGTTTTGCGTCCTATTTATTTAACCAGGTTAATTTTAGCATAAGCAATGTGAATTTAAGGATAAAGCCAACACGCTTCCCTAATCATACCTAAATTAGTATTTGTCAGGGGATCAGATAAACATGTTCCTGAATGTTCTCTTTTGCTTTCCTTAATGTCTGCTAAATTTCTGTGATCTCAGACAACATCTTTAGAGAACCATTAAAACATACATTTAATTGTGTTGTTTGTCTTAGTATTCCAAGAGCAGCCAGAGAAACTTACTCAGATGCTTACCAAATCTATCCCTGATGGATCAGATACAGAACTCTAAGGCTTGGAAACTAGCAGTTGTACTATATTTAGTTTTTACATTGATAAGATAACACTGGGGAAAGAGCAACATTTCATTTATTTATGGTGTTTTAATGTCCAGGATACAAGGTCACCTTTTGTTCTAATAAAGTCTTAAAAAAAAAAACTGGTTATACCTCAATTCAAGAAATATTTAAACTATTACTTAGGACACAGAGCTATCTAAGGCTTAGGCCTGAAACCGTGTATGCTATTTAGTCTGATACACCAACTTAATAAACCTCATACCTTAGACCAAGAGGACGAATGGGAGGAAACCATGAAGTACAGTGTGATACTAAGCAAAAGTGTTGCTTCAGGGGTATCATCAGGCACATCCAGACAGCTGGTTTAATATGGTCCCTGCCCCAATGGCAATTTAGATGCCAAAAGAGACCAAACTACTAGATAAAGTATCTAAGCCATCATAGAGACCTGATATGATATAGTCTTTTAAACTCTAACAAAATTAGGGTTAAGGGGCTATAAAAAGAGTGCTCTTAATATATTGAAACCGAAAACCTGGAGTAATAACCTTTTTATTTTTCCTTCTCAGGTGCTGTTGGTATCATTTCCCACACAACCTCTAGCAGGACTGATCACGATGATCCTAAATATCTCTACAGAAGAGACTGATAAAAAAAACCCCATTGACTGTCCCTTTTTGGGACACGACTATATTTTTGTCATGATTCCAACTGTTTACACCATCATCTTCATCATTGGTATATTTGGAAACAGCTTGGTTGTGATTATCATTTACTTCTACATGAAGCTGAAAACTGTGGCCAGTGTATTTCTGCTTAATTTAGCCCTGGCAGATCTGTGTTTCCTAGTAACTCTGCCATTATGGGCAGCTACAACAGCCATGAAGTATCACTGGCCTTTTGGCAATTGCTTGTGTAAGATCACTTCAGCTGCAGCAACCTTCAATCTGTACGCCAGTGTGTTTCTCCTGACATGCCTCAGTGTAGATCGTTATTTAACAATAGTGCATCCGATGAAGGCCCGCCTTCGACGCACAATGCTCGTTGCCCGGGTAACTTGTATCATCATCTGGCTGTTGGCAGCCCTTGCCAGCTTGCCTGTGGTGATTCACCGTCGTGCATACTTCATGGAAAATGAAAATATCACAGTATGTGCTTTTTGGTATAGCACACGCAGGAACTCAACCAAAAACACAACCATCAAAATTGGATTAGGCATATCCAAAAATATTCTGGGGTTCTTCATCCCCTTTGTGATCATTTTAATAAGCTACATATTAATCTGGAAAACTTTGAAAAGGGCTTACCAGTTTCAGAAAAATAACGGCAGAGGTGATGACATTTTTAAGTTGATTGTTGCAATAGTTCTGTTTTTCTTTTTTTCTTGGATTCCTCATCAAATATTTACTTTTATAGATGTGCTGATTCAGCTTGATGTGATTAAGAACTGTGATGTTGAGGATATTGTGGATACAGTTATGCCCTTCACAATCTGCTTAGCTTACTTTAACAACTGCCTGAATCCTGTCTTTTACGGCTTCTGGGGAAAAAACTTTAGAAAATACTTCCTTCAGCTACTCAAATACATCCCTCCAAATGTCAGGCATTCCAGTCTGTCGACAAAGATGACCTCCCTTTCATATCGACCTTCAGAAGACTTAATCCTCACCATCAGAAAAAAAGAATCCCTGGTTGCTGAATGATAGTACGGCAGCACATGTTTTGCTGTTGGTTGGTCAGAGCGACAATGCTCATCTTCTGCAGCGCTGGATCTGAGATACTTCATCCTTGGGAAAATTGAGTACTACCTTCATTTCATGTTACTTTCATTTCATGTTATGAAGAGGAACGTCTTAACTAAAGAATGCAAGCATCCTGCCTTCTGATGTTAGAGCTTGGTGGGAAATGATATGTGGTAGAACATCTAATCCAACTGCTTGTAGAAAAGTCTCTGAAATTACCTTGTGTTGCCTTATACATAAGTGTTATATAGAAGGCTTATTTCCAGAGTCCTGAAACGAAAGGAAAGGAAAGGTCATGGTGTGTTTCAAGAATGTGAAAGAACTGCCTATTTAACTATAATCAAACCCTACTTGGACTACATTTAATTACATACAGTACACTCATCTTCTCCAGAAACTGAAAACTGCCAGAACTGAACTAATGTATATCAGTAATACTGTGAGATTTTGAAATGAGAGTAAAGTGTAATACAATATAGAATGAATCCATATTTAGATAAACTGTTTTTCCATGTTCAAGTAACATTTGCTACATATACGGCTAAATGTACCACATTCAGAATATAGCACTGTTTCTAAATGCAGTTGAAAAAAGCTTCATTCCAAAGATAGTTCCCTCTCTATGAGCTCTTGGCAAAATACATCTGTGGAAAGTTTGTTTACTTGCACACAATTTTAACTGCCTTTCAGAAATACATAGCTACTACTGTTTATTTAATGCGGTTCCTTTCAAAATGGGCCTTACGGTATGGAAAAGTTTTGATAACACAGCCTTTCCTAAACTGGTGCCTTCTATATGTACTGGATTACAACTCCAATGATTGCTGTATTGTCATCACAGTGTATATCTGGAGGACACTATGTGGAGAAGGTTAATTTGTACAAGGAAGAGTGAGCACATTTTCAATCATTTTTCTGAGTTTCCCCAAAATGTTGATCCAACTGAGTGGTAGCCAGTCACTCTCCCACTTGGAGTTTTACCCCATAAAGTGTCCTTTTGCATCTGTGGGATTAGTCCAAGAAGCATACTGATGTATGCAAATCTCCTCTGTGAAAATAATTTATGCAAAAAACAAAACAAAAAATAAAAGCCAGTTTTCATTAGAAACACCATTTAACTACCTTATATTCATTTATTTTATCAGTATAAATATCCTTCTACAAAAAAATTCAGAACTCAGAATATTTTGTTTTAGTTTTAATATACAGTCATTCTTTGTCAAGTGCAAAGGTTCCATAAAAAAAAAAAAATCCTTATAGTTGGATAATATAAATTGGTAAATTTAAGGCCTTGTGGAAAAAATAGGGTTAGAAGAACTAAGTCATGATTCAACCTATTAAATCCCTCATTTTTTACCCCATAATAAAATAATAACATCAGAGAAAAGAAATACAAGGAAACAACATGAAAGAAAAAATGAAGGCTGACTGAGAAGAAATGACAGCAGAACATGTCATTTCTTTCCTTCTATCTCTCATGAGAAGAAAATCTCAGCCAGCATGCACCCACCCACCCCACCCCACCCCATTACTGATCTTACACAACCTTGTGGATTCAATTCAGTTCAATTTTATTCAATTTATATAGCCACCCATCTCACTTATGTGACTGGTTGGCTTACAAGTTAAAACAGCAAAAAACAAATGTATATAAATAAAATTAAAAACAATTAAAATAATAAATCACAAACATAAAAGCATGGAAGATCTCTACTCAAAGCTCGCATATAGTGCAGCCATCTTGCAGACTCCCCACATCCACAGGATCCCCACGCCTGAAAGCACAGCCATGTCTTCAGGGACTTCCTAAAGGCCAACAAGGTTGGAGCCAGTCTGACCTCAGGGGGGATGATGTTCCAGAGGGCGGGCACCACAAAAAAAGGCTCTCCTCCTGGGCCCCATCAGACAAAACATCTTTGTACACAGGACCCACAACATGCCCCTTCTCCCAGATCTGATGGGATGGACAGATGTAATTACGGAGAAACAGTCCCTCAAATACCCCTAGCCCCCTGCCATGTAGGGCTTTATAGGTCATAACCAGCACCTTGAATTGAACCCAAAAGCAAACTGGCAAACAATGCAGCTCACAGAGCAGAGGTGTAATGTGCACCAATCTTGGGCTGCACATAACTGCCTGTGCCACCACATTTTGGACCACTGTAGCTTCCAGATACTTAGATTCAAAAGGGGAGGTTATCACACAGGGCAAATTGATATATAGAACATTTCTCACAGATACTCAAATTTGCATGTGGTAAATGTACACTTGGGAATTCTGGGAGTTGAAGTCCACCCATCTTAAAGTTGCCAAGTTTGAGAGCCACTGCAGTAGAGCCAACCAAATATGGTGAGATGCCAAAAAGGCACCCCACCATCCCTATGAGCATAGGCACACATGTATGTGCACAAATACACAGACACACTGTATTGATGCTCTGTATTATATGAACGAGACAGTGCCATTAAAGTATACCAAAAAAATGAACCAAAAGAGTCTGTCTGAAACCAGCTTGCACAAAAATAATTAAGAATGCACAATGATTTGAGGAAGTTTTGTATGAGATACGCTATGTCAGTAATAAAAGGAAAGAGGTATGGTATAGTATAGTATAGAACCTCTGGTAGGATCAGTAGGTATTAAAAGTCAGATGGATTTATTTTCTAATTGCAAACTAAGCACATGTGCTCTATATTCTTTCAGCAGCTGTTATCAATCCCCAGAGCTCTTAATCACTATATCTGTGTATATATACTTTGCATACTTTTAAATCTGTAGAACAGACTTATTGTGTGCAAAGAAAATCATGCAGCTATTTTTTCTTAACAATAATTAAAAGTACCCTTGATCTTACGGAGGATTTATATCCAGTATTTCAACTCAGTATCCAATAATGGTCAAATAACTGCAAGCAAAGACGACAAAAATGAATAGCCGTACCCTGCTGCTGGACTTATCTATGTCTTTTTAATGGAACCCAGGATTGGTGCTTCTAAGGCTGTATAAAATGGGTCATCTTAGTCTCCAGGTGGCCAATCCTGCATTGCCAAACAGGGGAAGGAAATGCATTATTTGTTTAACATTACTATAATAGTATATGACAACTTTCCTTTAAGAAAAATATATATTCTGATACCATCTGTTTTGAAGATAGTAGAATCTCCATTAACATCTCTGTGGGTGCACTGGCTACCAAAGCATTAATTAAATGTAAGACCTTTAATTAAAACATTACTTTAAGGCCTTTAATTAAAACATGATGTTCCTCCACCTGCTATTGTACCCACTCTTCACTATTGGTGATGTTGACTGGGACTATTAGGAGTCATAGTTTAGCAACATCTTTTAAGAAAAAGATATATTACACTGCCATAAGTCATTAAGGTATAAGTAGCAAAGGAGAACTGTGGTTGGTCCAAAGCATTCTCTTGCATAAAGATTCTCCAAGTGTGGAGGACTCAAACTGCACAGAGAACAAGGTGGAACATGATCTCAATATACTTCTGGGAAGTCTGAAGGAGAGCAGGATCCATGCATGCATCAATGCAAGAACAACTATTTGCATGAGCTGAGACAAAATTTTATTAAAGTCTTAGATCACATGGCAAGATGTACTCAAGTTCAAACATGAGTGCAGCTGTCCTTTATAGTTCCACCTGAACATCTGCATTCTTTCTTAAAGGAGCAACATACAATTATGCACTTTCATTGTCATCTTCATTTCAGAGCATCATCTTGAAAATTGATCAGATTGCTCACTTGTTAAACAGAAAGCATATATATTTAACTAACACAGGAATTATTTTCTTTTTCAGCTATTGCCACATCTATTAAAAACATTTTTTTTTCTGCTGGCAGAATTGTTTTTAAATGTTGGCTTGCTGAACTTGTAAATGAAACTATATTCATTTCTATTTATTAAAAACAGAGCTTTATTTTATTCATTTCCTCCCATCATGGATGTAATGCTCTTTTTTGGAAATATAGCATAAAATGTAAACATCCACAGAATGGATTAACTTGCAGAAAGGTAGCAGTCAGTTGGTGGTACAGAAAACATGCCAAAAGAAATGTCTTTTTGATGATGTTTTGTTAGTGATTTCACAATAGTATGTGCTTGGAAGCATTGATATTAGAAGTCTGTTGAAAGTATCTATGAATTTCCTGCGGATTTAAATTTCTTCTAATAGTTCCATCATTGCATATATACCAAATATTCATTGTATCTGAAGTTCAGTTTCATGTTTGATACATCTAACATCAAAACTAAACAAAATGGTAATGTCTGGAGTATCTTTGTTGGCTCAGAATGTAGTAGCTAATGTCAACTGCATAGCTGAAAAGACATTTATATAATATAGATTCTATATCTTATGAAAGCTGTGAAAAACAAAGTTCATATATATTAGCATTTCAAAATATCATAAATGTTCTCACATTTGTGCTATTATGGATCATGTTGCCAATTAAGCCCAGAGCCAGCCAATGATATTTCTTCAAAGAAGCAGATATAGTCATTTCTTTCAGCAACCTAATAAAAAGGACTCATGCTAGAGCAGAGATCCATGTACATTGGAATGCTTACATGAAAGTCTTCCATTTACTGGCACACTCACTTTAGTGGAAATGGCTATTTCATTTAAAAAGATTGTCCTTGGATTTGTTACTAGCATCTTAGAAACTAAGTTCCTTGGGACTAGGTTTCTGAAAGATCACTTTCTCCATGTGAACTCAAACTTCCTACTAAACAAGCCCTGTCTTTAAGTGTCAAATAAAGAGAAGAACCACCATAGTATACTAGCGTCCAAGATACAGGAAGACCTTCAAAGAAGGCATATTCAGAACTACGTTTGCTTTCTTCAGTGCCAGGAGAAGACCTTTCTCTTGACCCCAGCTTCTAAAATAACTCACATGATCTGGGCTCTTTGGATTTTCTTTTAAAATGTTTAAATTGCTGAATGCTTGTTTTTTACTGTGTTTCATTTGGTTCTGAATTTTTAATGTTACTTGTTTAACCATTATCTCTCTGTAATAGGGAGGCATTCAAACATCATCCATAAATAAACAGTTGCTGAAATCAATCAACAGTTGCAGAACATAAAGATATTTGAATTTTAAAATTTATGCAGAGACAGTTAGTACAAAACAGAAGCTTGTGCAAAGGTTCATTAATAAGTCTAATGGAAAATCCTGGGTTAAAAAAACAGTCTTCAAATATGTTTCAGGAAATTGAACTCTATATTGACTTCTTTTTTTTTTCCACTAAAGCAACATATTTCACCTGACCAGTTATAATATACTTTTCTTGATTGTCTGAGACATAATGAACAATAATACCTGATTCCGAGCTGTTACAGCGCTGATTAAGGTATTTTGTTTCTATTAAGTATATATGATCACAGTGTGTGCTAAATATGAAAAGTATTTTGCAGTGCATTTGCTGCATATGCAGTTTGCAAATTCTAGCCAAGTAGAAACATCTAATCAACCTCAGTTGCTCTGAAAACAAGCTAAGCAGGATAAATGTTGGTAGGTATTTAGATGAAAGACCAGAAGGAGATTCTAGGGATGGAAAATAGACTTGGAAGTAAAGCACCGCGAACAACCTCAAAGAAAACTGTTGAATCCTGGGAGACACCAGGAACTAAATTCAGCTGAAAAATCTGTTGATATGAGGCTGCATCTGTGACATATTTGATGCTACTGTTTGTACTATCCATGTAAAAGACATTGTGCTCATAAAAACAAAAGACTTTTTAATGGAGAAACACTTTTACAATTGTTTCTTTCCTGTTGAAAATAGTGAGCATTTAAGTTGTTATTAAAAGTTAACAGACAGAGAATAAGAGAGGGTTTAAACCAGTGTTTTTCAACCTTGGCAGCTTGAAGATGTTGCTGGCTGGGGAATTCTGGGAGTTGAAGTCCACACATTTTCAAGTTGCCAAGTCAACCTTGGTTACACTGGTTTAAACAACAAAAGTTTACATTTGTCATGTAATCACTGGTATAGTCTGTTATTTTGAAATGCTAGTTCCTATTTTATATATATAAAATCTGAAATGTGGCACTTCTATGCCACCATTGAGCAAATACTGTTGCCAAATGAAGGAGTGAAAGGCAATCCTGTACACTAGGAGTCTATGTATAGGTGAAAAACATTTCACAGCAGACATCACCTCAAAATAAATATTCCTAAAACAAACAGTTTTCAAAATATGCCTGACTGAGAAAGCCTAACAAATCTGTTCTTTGGCTAGCTAGTTAATTACATTGCAATTTGATTAATTGCAAT